TGGTCTGCATTTGTTAAAACCTTACAACAGATTATATCCCTGACCTCCCTCCCTTCGCCTGCCCCTGCTTTAATAAGGAAGAGATTGTAAAAGAAAGAAAAAAGAGAAAAGATGCTATAGAAAATACAGTAGCAGTAGAGAACTGCATCTATAAGTAGTGTGTGGCTGCGCTCCTTGGAGCCAGCCATCTTCGCCCTCTGGCAATTAAGATTCAGATTCGACTGTACTGGGTGTGACACCCAGTTCCCTGTGGGGGTCAAGGTGTACCCTGTAGGCCAAATGGTATGGTTTGACACACTCCGCACAGGCGGATCTGTACATTTAACAATTTCTTTATCATGTCCCAACTCAAAAGCATGGATTACAACTGATGATCGCTTCCATAACTTCAGAAATTAAAACTAAACATGAAATAAAACATAGTGTAGCATAAGTTATTAAGTCACCTTTGTTTCATATTGATTGAACCTCTCTCCCCTGGGTGTAAAACCATCTGCAGTGCCTACCCCTATCATTACTGTACTTTGTAACAGGGGCATCACAAGTGACTCGAGATGGGGTTTTTGGGCAGCTTCACTATATACACCATATCATTCCTACCTGCCTACGGAGATGATTGGGAGGGAGGTGGATGAAAAGGGAGCTAGTAATAAGGAGTTATCGTTTCTCTCGTCCCAAAGGGTTATCGTTTCTCTCGTCCCAAAAGGAACGGTACTTAAGTCGCAATATACGAATGTTAAAGCCAATACCAGCTAGGCATTAGGGGAATATTAATGAAAACTTTACATTTATCCAAAGTATGGGCCCAGTTTGCTAGCTAGGGAGTGGGGGCCAGAGGGTGTCTAGGCTACTCCCCATTGTGATCTAAGATCATACCCTTAACCTGACAAGGACCCCTGTAATAAAGACATAGGGACTGGTGGGTGTTTAGCGCCCAGTAGCCTGTCTCTCCATGGCTCTGCTGGTATCTAGACCTCCTCCCATAAATAGTACCGTATACAAAGAGTGCACCTGCCAGGTGTTGTGGAGAGTAGTTTGTATAGTAGGTATGTATTAGCAAGGTCCATGTCTCTCCAGTGCAGCTTGTACTAATGAGCCTGTAGGTTGAGTCTGTGCCCTTGTGTGTGTCCCCACAAATGTGGTATGTGGAATAGCTGATGGTTAATCCCTAGGTGTGCCTGCTTTAGTATCATAGTCCCGGGTACTGTATCCATCTCCGTGTGAGTACCACAATATCAGGGCACCACCGCAGTGTCTTGGACTCCTTAAAGCATGATGAGGCCATAAGTGACCCCTGACCATACGTTTTAATATGAAGCAAAGTGTTCAGGGGATCAGAGGGTGTTTAACAACTTTTGAAAACTATTTACAAGTGACTTTCATGAGTAAGTCTAACTTCTCGTTCTCTTCCATTCCAGTGTGGGCAGGTTGAGCTCCGCCGATGCTGTAGGCGTAACTGCCGGCTGGATGCCCCATGTCTTCAGCAGCACTAGGCCTTCCTCTGGGGTTAGTATGGGTTGGTTGTCTGCCCATTGCGGGTGATCAATTGCCGGGTGGGGAACCCCCATCTATATGGGATTTGGTGCTTCTGCAGCGTTGCCGTCACAAGGGTAAAATTCCTCCTCACTTGTAGTGTAGCCAGGGAGATAGCTGCGAAAATCTGTACATCCTGATAAACTTCTGCTAGAGATCTAGAGCTTCTGCTTGCTCTAAGTATCTCCTTTTTTATGTGGTGGCTGTGTGCCCGAAGCAGTACATCCCGTGGTGCTGAAACTGGTGCTGCTCATGCTTTAGCCACACTGTGGATGCGGTCCAGGAGGAGCATTGTGACAGGCACGTCTGGACAAAGGGCTTGGAATAGACCTGTTGCAAATGCCTGCAGGTCTCCCACCACCACGGTTTCCGATATCCCCCTTAGTCTGAGGTTATTCCGGTGGGACCTATCTTCAAGATCCGCAAGCTTGGCATCGTGGGAAAACAAGTGTTTCTCCAACTGTTGGGCCTTGGCAGTTAAAAAGTTGTGGGTGGTCACTTGTTGGTACACTTTTGTTTCTATATGGGCTGTACAATCTCTAATGTTGTGGATTTCTTGCTTCATCTCTGCCAGTGAGGTTTGAAATTGGGTAAGTAATTGCTTGGATTGGGCATCCAGCATTTTTTGTAGGATGGTCGGTGTAATGTATCCTTTGCCCTCTTGAGAGGGAGGCAGGAGGGAACATGAGTCTTGGCTATCTCCAGAACTTGTGGTCGCCATCTTGGAGGCCTATTTGTGGTACGGACTGCTTGTGTTGGTTTTGCCAACATGTAGAATGGCGCCTGGTCCCCTTTTCCTTTCCCTTTATGGTGGGACATTGTTCCCTGTGGGAACAGTTGAGTTGTGCGCCCCATCCTCCCCACCAAGTTGCCTTTATACAGTCACACACACAGGCACAGGCACACAGTCACACAAACAGTTACAAGCAGACAGTCAGACACGCTCAGTTACAGGTAGACAGTTGGACACACAAACACACACAGTTACAGGCAGACAGTCAAACATGCTCAGTTACAGGCAGAAAGTCACAGAGCCAAACACACAGTTAAAGGCAGACAGTCACACACAGTTACAGGCACACAATCATGAACAGTTACACAGAGCAGTCACACACACACAGGCAGGCAGACATTCACACACACAACGCCCCCAAACAGGAAGGCAGTCTGTCAGACACACACAGGCAGGCAGTCACACAAACAGGTAAACAGTCACACACAGGCAGGCAGTCACACACAGGCAGTCAAGACAGTCACACACAGGCAGGCAGGCACACACGCACAGGCAGTCAGACAGTCACACACAAAGGCCAGCCCTGGGCGCAACCCTTTTTTATCTTTTTATTTCTGTATATTCTCTAAAGAATTTAGAGGGATTCCCCTTTTAGGATTGCTGCCTTTTTCTGTTGATTAGCGCTAAACCATTTTTGTATTCTAAGTTAAAATGGCGCCTGACACATTTCAGTTTGCCACTACTCACACACATACCTGGCTTCCCTCCTGCCGATCCCCTTCTGAATGCTGTGGCATATGCATGAAAGCTGCAGCAGACATCAGCACTTACCACCAAAGGAGCAGTCATATTAAGGTATGCTCCACCTCAGATAGGTCTTGGCTTTCTGATGTATATTTATGGGGGAGAAAATGTGGATCATGGAGCAGAGGGAATACTGCTGTGGTTTCCCAGCATGCCCTCACACCACCTGCTGTATTGTGGGAGCTGTAGTTTCCCAGCATGCACTATGGAACCAATAACTTCACAGAGTACCTTAGCACAGGGGAGGCATGAGAATCAAATGTCTGTTGTTCTTTTCAGAAATCACCTCTAAAATATCAACGTTGGAGGGGGGGAACTGGGTACCGAGCCGTGCAGACGCACCTGCCACGAGCTCCTGCCGGACAGGCCGAAAATCGGGGTAAAAGCGGCAGCTACATGGTCCAGGGACCTTCAAGGGTGCACCGCAAATCCGACAGATACCACCCCGGGGCCCGCCGGAGCCGGGAACACAAAGATACGATTGCGGCCTACTGGGGATGGAGCCGGGGGGAGACGGCCGCTCTGGGACATGCTGCATAGCAAGGGGAACAACCTACCACAAAGCATAAACAATGATAGCCTCTTGGATCAGACCGGCGGCACAACGCAGCCACTATAGGCACATACCTCGGGCCTCAAAAGCAGCTGTCCGGCTATGCAGGTTCCAGCAATCCTTAAGGCAGGATAAGGTGCCATGTCTCTCATATGCACGCTCCCATTTGCTGTCACACAAACCCGGGACTACTACACAAGCCACCCATACAGAGCACTCACCGGACTGGACTATCGCTGACCAGCGCAGCATGAACCAGCTCCCCACCACCAACGCTGCAACACAAGGGGTTGTGCGGCTGTACATCCCCCGAGATACCACCGGAGCTGACTCCCGGCACAGAGATACCATGTATAGGGGCTCCAAAGGAGGAACTTACTATGGCACTGACCGGGACTTTCCAATGAGGGACATAGGCTGAAACACCCATAGCATAACCTCACTAGAGCCGTGCCTTACAACTCCGTGTGAAGCTCTAGACGACTAACCTACACAGCGGCCATGCTTGCCTGGGTATGAAGGGGTTAATGCAGACTCTCTCCTTTGCCTTACCTTAGCCTGACAAACACCTAGCCACTACACTCACTAAACACCCAGATGATAACCCCAATAGCACGCCCCACAAAGCATATGCTATTACACACTAGAACATTCAAGTGGAGTCATAGCTTGGTTAACCCTCAACACAGTAAAACAATCTCCTGACTAGAAAGTTAAGCGGTGTTAATCTATGTTAATCTTGACTTTATGAACTTATGAATTAATATTATAATAAATAGCTTTTGCAATTATATATAAGATTAGACTTTACTGGAATTGTTTTGAGTGCGGTATTCACATTTGTTTTTGATTTAGATTAGGAGGTTGTTGTGGGGTTAAACCTCGAATACCTGCACCGTGCATAATTGAGTGCCAGCACATATTGTGTTTTTTAATCTATGTTATGTTATGCAAATGTCTAAACAAAGTAAAGCTATACTGTTTATAGCCTCAAAAATTGTGCTTGACCAACCGTGTACCTCTATGTTTAATTGTTCGTAATATGCTTGAGGATTGTCTTTGGGGTACCTCACAAGCAATTGCTATACGCTTACGCACTACAAAAATAAAGAATTATAAAAAAAAAATATATCAAAGTTGTTCTATTTGATGTTTAAAATATTGCTTTCTTAATTTTGGGTTGAAAAAATAGGCGTTGTCTTATACATGGAGAAACACGGTAGTTCATCCTTGGTTAAGTGTCTTTTCTCTTTGGAGAGGCACATTTGTAATAAGGTCACATACAGAGGTCACCAGCAAACAGGTATCAATTAATTTAATTGAAAGACTGCACCAGCACTCAATGAAGTGGTTACAGTGCCTTAAGAAGGGATAAGTAACCTTTGGCATTCCAGATGTTGTTGACTACATCTCCCATACTGCTCTTACAGCCATAATGATGATAAGGCATCAGGGGAAATGTAGTCCACAACATCTGGAATGCCAAAGGTTTCCTTCCCCTGGCCTAAAGTGTCCCTATCTATTTATTTTGCTTGGTGAGCATGGAGAACAAAATGGCTAGAAGGTCAGACTCTACAAGGTCTGGTGATGCATCTAGGGACCACAGGACATGAGCTGAAGACTTCAATTCTCCTGAACACTCAGTGGACAGCATGTCCGAAGGAGTAAACAAGAACTTTATTAAGTGCACATTAAATATAAGAAAATACAGAACCTTTAGAGTGAAGTAGTGATTGTAAGTATGTGCTGAAATACTGTAGAATCTGTAAGGGGGTACATTATGGGTGTTATTTCAAGTAGGTCACATGTTTCTGATGGAAAAGGTAGCTCAAACAGTGGAAGAACAAACCCCAACCCAATGGCTATCTATCAATACGGACATATAAGCAATACAAACAAAAAATTTACCTATGCTCTATACAGCTTTGTATCATTTGTGTTTGGGCTAATAATCTAGCCATTGCAGGCACCCAAGAAGCAATCAATTATAAATTGTATACTGTATATCATTTTTAAATGAGCAGAACCAATCAAAAAGTAAAATGCATGTGTATATATTTCCACAAGTGTCTACAGCCATTTGCTTTTAGCAAGAATGTTAATAAATATTGTAAATAAATCCTAAATAAAGTGTGAATTGACAAGTGTGAATAAATTACAGCTATTTGGGCTCTGTTTGAAACATCCTATATAGCTTTTACGTATATATTTTTTGTTCTTGATAACCTTTTACTTAATATGTCTTCTATATAACCATTTCCAAAAGATATATAAATATATATAGACCCTGTTCCAATTCCTATTATGCAAATTATATTTTTCTCATTTACCTAAATAATTGATATAAATAACAGTCAGCATAATTCTCATGTTATCAACTATTAAGAGTACAATTCAAATTTTAGTGAACAAACCTCCTAATGATAACAGTATATTTTTTAAACATAAAAAACTTACAATGCACTGTTCCAAATTATTACGCACAGTAAGTTTCAAAACACTTTATAGGTTGTAAAGAACTGAAAATTATCATTTGTTGTGTTTGCAGCATATTTACTGAATCAAAAGCTATTTCAATCAAACTTTTAACAACATTTTAACTTTTTAAACATTTTAACAGGTCACGTTACATTTTAACATAGGACCCCTTATTTGATAGCAGCTTCACAAGTCTTGCATCCATTGAACTTGTGAGTTTTTGGACAGTTTCTGCTTGAATTTGTTGTCAGAATAGCCTCCCAGAGATGCTGTTTGGATGTAAACTGCCTCCCACCCTCATAGATCTTTTGCTTGAGGATGCTCCAAAGGTTCTCAATAGGATTGAGGTCAGGGGAGGATGGAGGCCACACCATGACCTTCTCTCCTTTTATCCCCGTAGCAGCCATTGATGCAGAGGTATTCTTTGCAGCATGAGATGGTGCATTGTCATGCATGAAGCTGATTTTATTACGGAAAGCATAGTTCTTCCTTCTATACCAGAGAAGAAAGTGGTCAGTCAGAAACTCCACATACTTTGCAGAGGTAATCTTTATACCTTCAGGGACCCTAAAGGGGCTGACCAGCTCTCTTCACATGATTCCGGCCCAAGACATGACTCCACCACTACCTTGCTGACGTCGCAGCCTTGTTGGAACAGGGTGGCCGTCCACCAACCATCCACTACTCCATCCATCTGGACCATCCAGGGTTGCACGCCACTCATCCGTGAACAGGACTGTTTGAAAATTAGTCTTCATGTATTTTTCTGCCCAATGCAGCCGCTTCTGCTTGTGAGCATTGGTTAGTGGTGGCCGAATAGAAGGTTTATGCACAGTTGCAAGACTCTGGCCTTTTGGCGCCCTGTGTGAAACATCTTTGCAGCGCTCTCCCTGGTCATACCCCTACATCCATGTAATTTGTGTAGTGTTTGTATACAGGATTTAGGAGTAGATGGGGGGAAGGTGCACTGTGGCAGTAGAAGGGGGTCATGCATACTGTGGCAGTAGGTGGGGGGCATGGACACTGTGGCAGTAGATGAGGGGCAGCGCACTGTAGGAGTAGATTGGGGTAGGGGCACTGTAGGAGTATATGGGGCAGAGGCACTCTAGAAGTATATGAGGCAGGGGTAATGTGGCAGGAAATATGGACACAGCATTACTCTAGGGGTAGTTGGGGGGCAGGTGCACTGTGGCAGTAGATGGGGCAGGGGGACTCTAGGAGTAGTCGGAGTGCAGGGGCACTGTAGGAGTAGATGGGGCAAGGACACTGTAGGTGTAGTTGGGGGCAGGGGCACTGTACGAGTAGTTGGGGCAGGGGCACTGTAGGTGTAGTTGGGGCAGGGGTACTGTAGTAGTAGTTGGGGCAGGGGCACTGTAGGAGTAGTCAGGGGCAGAGGCAGGGGCATGGGCACTGTAGGAGTTGGGGCAGGGGCACTGTAGTAGTAGCTGGGGGCAGGGGCACTGTAGATGTAATTGGGGCAGGGGCACTGCAGGAGTAGTTGGGGGCAGGGGCACTGTAGGAGTAGGTGGGGGCAGGGGCACTGTAGGTGTAGTTGGAGGCAGGGGCACTGTAGGAGTACTTGGGGGCAGGGGCACTATAGGTGTAGTTGGGGGCTGATGCTCCTTCCTGCTTTCCACTCACTTACCATGCCACTTGCTTAGCTCCATCCCTGCCATATTAGCTCCGCCCTGCTGGCAGCTGAGCCCCACCCCCACTGACATCACTGATAGACCTGGGTAGAGGAAAATCCGCGACAGGTATTATAGAAGTGCTCTGTGCACTCTCTCACACCTGTCACTCGGGGGATGTGCGAGCTTTGTCGGCCGCATGGGGCCCCCTGCTGCCATGGCGCCCTGTGCGACCGCACAGCTCGCACACCCCTAAGGCCGGCCCTCACTCTACACCTTGATGTCCGTGGGACTCCAGAGGCACCAGCAGCTTCAAATATCTGTTTTCTGCTATGTAATGGTATTTTAGCAGCTGCTCTCTTGATCCGATGCATGGATCTGGCAGAAATCTTCCTCAATGTGCCTTTATCTGCACTAACCCATCTGGGCTCTTAATCAGCCACAAATCTCTTAATAGTGCGATGATCACGCTTACGTTTTCGTGAAATATCTAATGTTTTCATACCTCGTCCAAGGCATTGAACTATTTCACTCTTTTCGGCAGCAGAGAGATCATTTTCTTTCTTTCCCATATTGCATGAAAATGGTGCTCTGCTTAATAATGTGGAACACCTTGCTGTAGTAGTTTTTCCTTAAATTGGGCTCACCTGGCAATCTAATTATCACAGGTGTCCGAGATTGTTTTCAGTGATCAAAAGAGCCCTGAGACACAATGCCATCCATGAGTTAAACTGAAAAACAAAATATTTAATCTTTGTGACACTTAAATAGAATTTGCATAATAATTTGGAACAGGGTGTATATATATATCTCCCCATAATCTGTAACTTATATGTATTATCTGCATGTCATTGCTGATTTTTTTTCCAATAAAAATAAAACATGTAACCCTGCGCGATTGTACAAAGTATCCCAGAATTAAAGTAAAACTCGTACCATCCATCAATGCAAATATATGTGGGCATGGAGGGGGTGTCTTTTCTAATAATCAATTACAAAACATTTCTGCAAAATAAAATTGATTTACATCTACTAAAATAAAAAAATAGTATAAGTAAAAATCTAATGACAAACAGAAATGTGTTATTGCTGTGAAAAAAAAATCTGTAAAAAAAAACAGTGTTGGCTTACTTTTTAAAAAAACACCTTGAACCAGTTTTAAATTACTTGTGTTAACTGTTAGTTGACATGCTGGATCTTTGTACCAAATTATAATGCAATAAATAAACCTTTTTTAGTAGACTTGTGACGATGGAAATATGTGTTTTAATCCAATCACTTTGCTTAAAAATCTTTTTTTGGGAAAGGGCACATTTTATTAAGGAAAAAATATTCCAGAAAAGAAATCAGACAAACCAAATAAGCACAAAAATGTGCCAGTCAGAGTAGTGTAAAATACATACATAATGCAAACTTTATGCATCTATTATACAGGGCACGGGTAGGCGTAATTTACTGCCATACGGTTCACAGGTCAAGTGAGAAAAAGTAATTTGTAGAGGTCCACTGTATTTGTGAAATTTATATATATATTACTGCTTCTCCCTTTTTTCCTCTTTCAGTTAATTTTTCTCACTTGATCTGTGAATACACTCTCACATTCTCTTCTAGGCATTACGAATTTCAAAACTTCGGCACTTCAGCAATTCGGCACTCCGACACTTTGGAACTTCGGCAACTTTGGCACTTCAGCACTTCGAAACTTCGCCACTTCGGAATTTCAGTAACTTCGGCACTTCAACACTTTGGAACTTTGGCACTTCGACACTTCGGAACTTTGGCAACTTCGGCACTTCGGAACTTCTGAACTTCTCTTGCAGCCGCTTGGTAGATAACTCCCTAATTCCCACGGTATTTTTTATTATTTTATCTCCTTTTTTCTTTTTCTGCACTTTTTACCATTTTCCATTTTTAACTCCTGTATGTTTCATTATTTATTGAGTATCTTTCCTTTGATACTTATTTCTATTTTTATTTTATTTTTTTTATTTTTGACTTCATGATTTTTTAATCCATTCACCTTTCACTATTTCACTATTTTGGATTCACTTGTATTTATATTGTTCTTATTCTGTTATAAAATCTCCTCTTAAAGGTACAGCATCCCTCTTAAAGGTACAGCACCCCTATTAGTATTACTCTTTTATAGATATTTTAGCTTTTTTTTAGCCACCTTTTAGGCGAGCTCCTGGTATCCCTAGACACCTTCGGTGTCTTTTTTTCTGGTTATTCCTTTATAGGTTTTAGTGAATCCCTATTTGCGCCAGTTTTGAGCAAGCTAATACTAGTCCTACTCCCTCATTTTTGGGCAACACACTAGGTGTACCAGTACAAATCATTTTACCCCCCCAATTAGTATTTAGGGCCCCCACCCACCGCTCAGGGGT